AAAAAAAAAAAAACACTTACTACGTTTACTAATGCAGTGATGGACTTCTATTTGATCCAGTACTGAGTACAACTACCTGAGATCTGTAGGCCTTTGGAGTCAAGCTAAACAGATGTATAAACTATCACAATACTACAAGAATGAAAGGTAACACTGGTTTCTGAGGAATCTCAGCTCTTAAGATTTGTTCAATGGGATTCAGAACATGGTATCAGACCATATGTCATCCTAGGGAAGACTAAATATGGTGCTCCCTCCCTCCAGCAAACCTGCTGGGAAGTTAGCAGATCATAAGCATTAAGAGGGTCTTCAGACTTGGAAGGGACTTAGATATCACCTAGTCTAACAATGTCATGTTAAATATATGGAAAGGGAGGATCAAATGACTTATGTGACTAGCTTGATATAAAAATCACTGAAGAATTTGGTGGCAGAACTAAAACTAAACCCAAGGCTTTTGATTCTACCCTGAGGTCCTTTCCACAACACTAAGCTGCTTCTCTTACCAGCCTCTGTCCATGTGAACAAAGGCCAGATAACAACCCTAGGCATTCTCACCTTTGGTTTCCTTGCTAGAAGCCTCACTAATCTGTGTCTCATCTAAGTTCCCAATCCAGGGCCTAAATGAATAAAACGTGGGCACCAGAAACCACCAGCTCCTCAAACAGAGTTGTAAGCCAGACCCAGGAGAGCAATGCTTCTCTCCTGAAGAATATACACATATTGGGAAGCTAGGAGAGGTATGGAAGGCAGACAACAGGAAGATTCCCACAGCTGACAATGGTTTGTTTAACAATTAGTTGGCACCAGTCGTCGTGAGCTCTTCTAATCTGTCTCATTTCCTTTATGACTCAGTGGGAGCAGGGCCACACCAGATAGTACTGGAATGCTTGGGGAGTAGAGCCCCAAGAAAAAGACACTGGCTCACAAAGAACACAGAAACGTATCAGGAACATCAAAATGGAAGCTCATGAAACTTTTCCCAGATGTTTATAAGCTCTACTTCTTGCCCTCAAAGTTTAGGAGGGCATTAAGAAACACTTAAATTTACGTTCCAGGGTTTACTGGATTAAAATACATAGGCTATCTCAGTAGCTTTACTCAATTTAAGAATCACCTGAGAATCTTGTTAAAAAACAAGATTCTTGAGCAGTCCCAGATTTTTGAATTATAGTTAATGAGTTCATCCTTGGCCCAGCAAGTTGAGCATTTTCAAGTAACTCCAGGGGATTCTGATGCATGTGTTCCATGGACCACAAAACAGGGAAATCATTGCTTTACCTTTAACAGAAAACTGTTCTGGTAACAGGTTATCACCCATGTACTAGAAAAATGCTAAAGGCTGCCCCTTGGATGCCTGCACAAGGACAGCTTCTCCCTTGCCAGAGGTCTGTAGAGCAATCACAGAAAACCATCCATACCAATATACTCCCACAGCAACTCATGTTGTATTTGAGATGTTGCATCAAGGCTAAACAAGGCCAATAACATTTCTTGATTCCACCCGGACAGGCAGTACAGCAGAGAACAGTTCTCAGACCTGAAAAGCTTTAAAAACATACTGATACCTGAGCCCCTCAGTCCAAGGAAATCTGAAACTCTGGGGAGTGAGGGTGGGCATTTTTTTAGAAGCTCCCCAAGTAATACATTGTACATTTGAGATCGAGAGCCACCCACCTAGGGTAATAAACTCTGTAGGGACCATTATAGAAAGTGTCTGCTGATATCTGGCCATTCAGTTCTGGGAATATCATCATTTAAGTGATGTTCCAAGATACAGATCTTTTCCATAGAGCATATAATTTGTTTAACTTATTTAAGCAAGATTTTTCAGTGAAATTCATTATTCTACAGAAATACATCTAATTTAAACATATGCATCGCATGAAGTCTTCCTTTCTTATTCTCCTAAAATTTAAGCACACCAAATCTGGCAGTCCCAGTCTCCCGTACCTACCCCAGAGTTCCATTTGCTGGACTGGAAATTGGCTGTGGAAATCCACAAAAAGAAAAAGCAGCAGAGTTTGTCCCTCCGGGTCCATATTCTGAAACTGATCCTCCTCACTGGATGCCACCTGATAACTCACATCTGGAAGCACCAAATCTAGAGAACAAGATATTACACAGTATTCTAAGGTAAGTAAAGCCCTAAAAAATGTTGTCAACAAAGAACCTGAACTTCAAGGAAGGATCTGTGATAGATCTAAATTCGAACATTCCCTTCTCCTCTTAAATCTGTTTTTCTATCCACATGATGGAAGCAAATAATAGTGACTCACAGGAAGAACATCAAAATTACAAATGGGTGTGCAAAACGCAACCCTAACAGTGCTACTGAGAATTTACTAGGAAGAACTATACAATATATTCATTCATTCATCATTTAACTCCTAAGGTAGGCATAGCTAGTAGGAGGCAGAGGTCAGAGTCAAACCTGCATAGTGGGAAGATAACAGCCAACTAGTACTGAGTGCTTACTATATGCTACCTACTAAATTAAATTCTTTGAATGTATTATCTCAACATTCAGACTTCACAACAGTATGGCATAGGACCTATTCTTATTCCCTTTTACAGACTAGGAAAGAGGCACAGATAGGTTAAGTACATTGCCATAATGCGAGAGTAAGTGGTGGAACTGTTTTGACTGACTCCAAAATCTGTGCTCTTAACAATAGCAGTATGTGATATTTGTATTCCCAAGGTATCTGATGCCCTACAGTCACTTTCTAGCATGTTGATCCTTTTGAATACAATTATGACAGTCCTAAATTCCATCTAAATCGATATAGAGAACCTGTGCAAATCCTGGCTCTGTCCTTTAGAGTAATGCAGGAGGGGGTATTTTTTACAATATTCATTTCCAAAGTTAACTGTGCAAGTTCAGGCACCATGAATTGGCATAGAAGGAAAGAAATCAACAAAGCATAAAAATAAAAATGAAAAGAGATATAAAGAAGCTCTAGAGATTCAAAAATCCTGATAGCATTACATTCTATCTGTTAAGACCAAACATTCTTTCCACACAAAACCATTTACCTCCAGACACCCTGTCCAAGGATACCCTTCATTCCACCCTCTGGAATACCACCTCCTCAAGAAAAGAGCCTTACCTTAAGGCTTTCTTTCTAGACGAAAGATTCTGTCATTCCCCTGAGATATCTCCCCATCCCAGGAGGCTTCAATCTTCTCAGACCAGTCACAATTCTAGAATACCTCTTACCTACGTGTCATCTTCCTCAGGATCCAGTCGCCCAGCTATCTTCTAAATTTCAAAGGATTCTAGCTAACAAGTCAAGCTCCTGACTGTAAATCTCCTAGACACCAGCTCATGGTTGCATATTCCTATTTCCCAGTTTTATTTGTTGGTACAGTTTTTAAGTCTCCTACTTTCAGCATGATTCACCCAAAATTAATGTGGTTGGGCTCTACATGAGTATTATAGCCAGCTTCCTAAGTTTATACTACATGGCTTATACTCCTGCCTTGCATCTATGTGGTGTTTTAATTTTTCTAAGTAATTTTAAGTGGATTTTCTCATTTAGTTAGGAAATGTTTTCCTTCCTCAATAGTTCAAAGATGTCATTGCTCCTTTACTAACCTTTCTAAAACCGGAGTTGACAGATTAAGGCAAAACAGAAGCCTTTGGAACAAGCCTTAGAAGATGAAGCTCCAGTGACTACTTTGACAAGAGGACCAGGAACATAGGAGGCAGGAGAGGAAGTAAGAAGATAACCACTATCAACAAGCAATGCCAAAATGGTTAAGCTCTGCTGGGGCTTTGCCTGTTGATACGTGTTAACGTCACTTCACATGCACTCTCAAATAGCCAGACCCCCACTTGCACCCCCTAACTTAAGCCAGCAGATCATAGGGTTCTATCTTCACATACACCAGCTATTTACATTTCCTTGCATTTCTCTAATCTTCTCCAGATTTCTTTATTCCTGTGTGAAGTAAGGGCATTATACCTTTATCCAAATTGCGATCCAAACTGGGCATCATGCACAAGTGGTATTTCTTCCAGTCAATGAAGGAGGTATCTTTCAAGACAGTAGTAGCACTTGGCTGCTCCTGACTTGGCAGTATCAGAGGGAGACCTGAAGGTCCATATAGATATATGTACAGTTGCTAAAGAAAACTGCCAAATTTTAGTTTTTTATGACTATGTATTAATTTGAATAAAACAAACACAACACTGACCTGGTTCACACTCCCAGAAATAAACTAGTGTGCTAGGTGATTACATATTAAGGCTTCTCCACACTGAAGATAGGTGTGAGGCACCAGAGAGAGATCCACTAGAATCCCCAGAAATTTATTCTGGTTTTAATGAGTATGCACTACAGGTATAGTATTGGGACACTTAGCTTATTTATTCATCCTATTGACTCAATCAGAGGTTTGAGTGGTACTACAGGCTAAACACCGTACTAAGTTTTGGGGATACAAAGATGAATATCCAGATTTATTACCTACCTCCAAGTTGTCATATTTATAGTCTGGGAGACATATATAAAAACCAGTAAACTATAATACAATGTGATACATACTAGAATAGAGGTATATATATACAAAGGAATATTTTTCAGCAAGTATTTGAGTATATTCAGGTTGAAAAGGAAACTCCTCACCTTCTCCAGTCGTATTCTCTAACCGAGACAAAGGAAGGTAGGCTCCGGAAATGGCTTCCTTCTCTTAACTTCCCATTTCCATTCTCACCCTCCCTTTCACCCAGGGTTTCTCAGCCTTGGCACTACTGACACTTTGGGCCAGATCCTTCTTTCTGGTGGGGGCCATCCTGTGCATTGCAGGATATTTAAAAGCATCCTTGGCCTTTAGCCACTAGATGCCTGTAGTACCCCTCCCTCCAATCATGACGATCAGAAATGTCCAAAGACATTGCCAAATATCCTGAGGGTATCCTTGACCCAGTTAAGAATCACTGCCTAGCATTTTCTTGTTCCCTGAACCAAGGCTAAAGAGGCCAGAAACGTTTTCCTTTATCTTTGCTTTCATCCTCTTTTTAATAGGGTAAACAAGAGGCATTAAGTGTGAAGATTAACATCCTTACCCAGTAAGCACTGGGGCATTTTGGAAAGTCACAACAGAATACAGGGAGGCAGTGCCTATAAATGAAGTTCTCCATCACAAATCCAGGAAGGCATTAACATGTGAGCTAAGGCCAGCACTTTCACTGTTTAGAGCCAGGATAGCGTTGAGATGCTGCAACCTCTGAGTAAGAGTGGAATATCTAAAGTCATGATGCATGTCTTTTAACTGGGTTGTTTAAACCATTTACATTTAATATTAATACTACTATCGGTGGTTTTAAATCGGCCATCTTACTGTGTTTTCCACTTATTCCTTGTATTTGGTTTCCTTTTTCTCTTTTCTATTGTTGGACTCTACTTTGGATTACATTACATAATTTTTTAAAATTCCATTTTGTTCCTTTTGGCTTATTATTTATAACTCTTGTATTAAAGGGGATTGCTTTTGGTTCTATAGTATACAACTTTAACTTATTGCAGACTACCTCCATGTGATATGACAGCTCACACACATATAGTATATATGTGTGTGAACATACAGTATAAGAATCTTGCACCAATATACTTCCATTTCTCTCCTACTGACCTTTGTGCTATTATCACATTTTTTACTTACACATGTTATAAATCTTAATATACTGTTGGTATTCATTTTATTTCATTTTTGTATCATTAATGTACAATTACATGAGCAACATTATGGTTACTAGACTCCCATTATCAAGTCCCTACCACATACCCCATTACAGTCACTGTCCATCAGCGCAGTAAGATGCTATAGAGTCACTCCTTGTCTTCTCTGTATTATACTGCTTTCCCCATGCCCCCAACCCCACATTATGTGTGCTAATTGTAATGTCCCTTTTCCCCCCTTATCCCTCCCTTCCCACCCATCCTCCCCAGTCCCTTTCCCTTTGGTAACTGTTAGTCCATTCTTGGGTTCTGTGATTCTGCTGCTGTTTTGTTTCTTCAGTTTTTCCTTTGTTCTTATACTCCACAGATGAGTGAAATCATTTGGTATTTGTCTTTCTCTGCCTGGCTTATTTCACTGAGCATAATACCCTCTAGCTCCATCCATGTTGTTGAAAATGGTAGGATTTCTTTTCTTCTTATGGCTGAATAATATTCCATTGTGTATATGTACCACATCTTTATCCATTCATCTACTGATGGACATTTAGGTTGCTTCCATTTCTTGGCTATTGTAAATAGTGCTGCAATAAACATAGGGGTGCATCTGTCTTTTTCAAACTGGGCTCCTGCATTCTTAGGGTAAATTCCTAGGAGTGGAATTCCTGAGTCAAATGGTATTTCTATTTTGAGTTTTTCGAGGCACCTCATACTGCTTTCCACAATGGCTGAACTAATTTACATTCCCACCAGCAGTGTAGGAGGGTTCCCCTTTCTCCACAACCTTGCCAACATTTATTGTTGTTCGTCTTTTGGATGGTGGTGATCCTTACTGGTGTGAGGTGATATCTCATTGTGGTTTTAATTTGCATTTCTCCGATGATTAGTGACGTGGAGCGTATTTTCATGTGCCTGTTGGCCATCTGAATTTCTTTTTTGGAGAACTGTATGTTCAGCTCCTCTGCCCATTTAATTGGATTATTTGCTTTTTGTTTGTTGAGGTGTGTGAGCTCTTTATATATTTCATATGTCAACCCTTATCAGATATGCCATTTATGAATATATTCTCCCATACTGTAGGATGCTTTTTTGTTCTACTGATGGTGTCCTTTGCTGTACAGAAGCTTTTCAACTTGATATAGTCCCACTTGTTCATTTTTGCTTTTGTTTCCCTTGCCTGGGGAGATATGTTCATAAAGAAGTTGCTCATGTTTATGTCCAAGAGATTTTTGCCTATGTTTTTTTCTAAGAGTTTTATGGTTTCATGACTTACATTCAGGTCTTTGATCCATTTTGAGCTTACTTTTGTGTATGGGGTTAGATAGTAATCCAGTTGCATTCTCTTAACATGTAGCTGTCCAATTTTGCCAACACCAGCTGTTGAAGAGGCTGTCATTTCCCCACTGTATATCCATGGCTCCTTTACCGTATATTAATTGACCATATATGTTTGGGTTAATATCTGGACTCTCTATTCTGTTCCACTGGTCTATGGGTCTGTTCTTGTGCCAGTACCAAATTGTCTTGATTACTGTGGCTTTGTAGTAGAGCTTAAAGTTGGGAAGCAAGATCCCCCCTGCTTTATTCTTCCTTCTCAGGATTGCTTTGGCTATTCGGGGTCTTTTGTGGTTCCATATGAATTTTAGAACTATTTGTTCCAGTTTGTTGAAGAATGCTGTTGGTATTTTAATAGGGATTGCATTGAATCTGTAGATTGCTTTAGGCAGGATGACCATCTTGACAATATTTCTTCCTAGCCAAGAGCATGGGATGAGTTTCCATGTGTTAGTGTCCTCTTTAATTTCTCTTAAGAGTGTCTTGTAGTTTTCAGGGTATAGGTCTTTCACTTCCTTGGTTAGGTTTATTCCTAGGTATTTCATTCTTTTTGGTGCATTTGTGAATGGAATTGTTTTCCTGATTTCTCTTTCTGCTACTTCATCGTTAGTGTATAGGAATGCAACAGATTTCTGTGTAATAACTTTGTATCTTGCAACTTTGCTGAATTCAGATATTAGTTCTAGTAGTTTTGGAGTGGATTCTTTAGGGTTTTTTATTACAATATCATGTCATCTGCAGTGACAGTTTGGCTTCTTCCTTACCAATCTGGATGCCTTTTATTTCTTTGTTTTGTCTGATTTCTGTGGCTAAGATCTCCAGTACTATGTTGAATAAAAGTGGGCAGAGTGGTCATCCTTGTCTTGTTCCTGATCTGAGGGGAAAAGCTTTCAGCTTCTCTCTGTTAAGTATGATGTTGGCTGTGGGTTTGTCATATATGACCTTTATTATGTTGAGGTACTTGCCTTCTATACCCATTTTGTTGAGAGTTTTTATAATGAATGGATGTTGAATTTTGTCCAATGATTTTTCAGCATCATTGGAGATGATCTTGTGGTTTTTGTCCTTCTTTTTGTTGATGTGGTGGATGATGCTGATGGATTTTCGAATGTTGTACCAACCGTGCATCCCTGAGATGAATCCCACTTGATCATGGTGTATGATCCTCTTGATGTATTTTTGAATTTGGTTTGCTAATATTTTCTGGGGTATTTTTGCATCTATGTTCATCAGGGATATTGGTCTGTAATTTTCTTTTTTTGTGGTGTCTTTGCCTGGTTTTGGTATTAGAGTGATGTTGGCTTCATAGAATGAGTTTGGAAGTATTCCATCCTCTTCTATTTTTTTGGAAAACTTTAAGGAGAATGGGTATTATGTCTTCTCTAAATATCTGATGAAATTCAGCGGTGTAGCCCTCTGGTCCGTGGGTTTTGTTCTTGGGTATTTTTTTTGATTACAGATTTAATTTCATTGCTGGTAATGGGTCTGTTTAGATTTTCTGTTTCTTCCTTGGTCAGTCTTGGAAGGTTGTATTTTTCTAGAAAGTTGTCCATTTCTTCTAGGTTATCCAGTTTGTTAGCATATAGATTTTTATAGTATTCTCTAATAATTCTTCGTATTTCTGTAGGGTCTGTCATGATGTTTCCATTCTCATTTCTGATTCTGTTTATGTGTGTAGATTCTCTTTTTCTCTTAGTAAATCTGGCTAGGGTTTATCTATTTTATTTATTTTCTCAAAGAACCAGCTGTTGGTTTCATTGTTTTTGTCTATTGTTGTATTCATCTCAATTTTATTTATTTCTTGTCTGATCTTTATTATGTCCCTCCTCCTGCTGACTTTGGGCCTCATTTGTTTGTCTTTTTTGTTGGTATTCATTTTAAACAATTGATTATTTTTAAGGAGATTTTTTAAATAGGGTAAAAATATTTTTTATTTACCCAGAGAGTTATGACTTCCAATGCCCTTCTTTGTGCAGATATAGTCTGTCTGGTATCACTTCCCTTCTGCCTGAAACGTTTCTTTTAACATTTCATAGAATATTTGTGTGCTACTGATGAAGTCTTTTTTATTCTGAAAAATTCTTTCTTTTGCCTTCATTTTTGAACAATATTTTCTCTCAGTAAAGAATCCCAGGTTTCAAGGCTTAAAGATGGTGGTGTGAGAAATGAGACAGAAACCTTTTCCCAAAACTACATACAACACAAAAATACAGCAAATACAACTAATCCTGAAAGAGCAACCAGAAAGAAGACTCGACAGACTGCTTACTTATGGGGAAAAGAGAAGACCTCATGGAAAAGGGTAAAGTAGCAAAGCCGTGATGCAGTGGGACCCAAGCCCTTCCCCAACCCCAGCTCACCAGAGGGAGGAAGAGAAACAGCGCAGTGAGAGGGTAAAAGTCTAGGACTGCAGAACACCCAGCCCTGGAGATCCACTCTGGGAGCACAAACTGACATTACATGGTGCTCTGGAGATTAGTGCGGTTGGAAAGCAAAGACAGGCAGAAAACTTGGAGAGACTGAGATTCCAGCTGCTTGTGGAGAACAGGTACCAACAACCGGTTGCTCTCAGATAAAAAAAAAAGCAGGAACTTTGAAAGACTTCCCAACAGCAAGAGGGCTACTAACGGGGCAAGGATTACACAGAGCTTGCTGCTTAGGAGAAAGGGAAGTGGACAAAATCGTCCTGGCACACTCAGCCCAGCAGGTTGGGAACTTTCAGGAGCTTCAGGAATTCCATCCTCATGGCTGGCGACACGCACCACAGCACCTCACTGTAATATGCAGCCTGCTGCACCTTCCTCCCAGCCAGCATCAGTTCACAAACCTGCTGCCCCTGCCAATGTACCAGGCCAGCCAGAGGGCTGCCCCACCTACAGACACTTCTCCAAAGAAGAAATTCAGATGGCCAACAGGCACATGAAAAGATGTCCACATCACTAATTATCAGAGAAATGCAAATTAAAACCACAATGAGATATCACCTCACACCAGTTAGAATGGCCAACATCCAAAAGACAAACAGCGACAAATGCTTGTGAGGATGCAGAGAAAGGGGAACCCTCCTACACTGCTGGTGGAAATGTAAATTTGTTCAACCATTGTGGAAAGCAGTATGAAGGTTCCTCAAAAAACTCAAAATAGAAATACCATTTGACCCAGGAATTCCACCCCCAGGAATTTACCCAAAGAAAACAAGATCCCAGATTCAAAAAAACATATGCTCCCCTATGTTTTTCGCAGCACTATTTACAATAGCCAAGATATGGAAGCAACCTAAGTGTCCATCAGAAGATGAATGGATAAAGAAGATGTGGTACATATATAACATGGACTTACTAAGCCATAGAAGAAAACAAATCCTAACATTTGCAACATAGATGGAGCTAGAGGATATTATGCTCAATGAAATAAGCCAGGTGGAGAAAGACAAGTACCAAATGGTTTCCTGCATTTATCGAGTATAACAACAAAGCAAAACCGAAGGAACAAAATAGCAGCAGATTCACAGACTCCAAGAAGGGACCAGCAGGTACCAAAGGGGAGAGGTGGGGAAAAGTGGATGGGGAGGGGGGTAGAACAGGATTGAGGGCATTTTAATTGGCACACGTGTTGTGTGTGGGGGGTCATGGGGAAGTCTGTGTAGCACAGAGAAGACAAGTAGTGATTCTGCGGCATCTTACTAAGCTGACAGACAGTGACTGGGGTGGAAGGTGGGAGGGGACTCGATATATGGGTGAATGTAGTAACCACAATGTTGCTCATGTGAAACCTTCCTAAAATTGTATATCAATGATAACCTTAATTTTAAAAAACCCAGGTTAACAATTCTTTTTCTTTTATTATTTTAAGATGCCACTCCATTTTCTTCTAGCTTACGCTGTTTCCAACAAGAAATAGGCTGTGATTCTTATCTTTGTTGCTTAGTATGTAAGATGTCTTTTAGGTGCTTTCAAGATTTTTTTATTACTGCTTCAAGCAATTTTATTATGGTGTGTCTTGGTATAATTTTCTATAATGTTTAGGGTTCGTTGATCTCCTTGGATCTGCAGGTTATTATAGTTTCATCAAATTTGGAAATCGGGGGACATTATTTCCTCAAATATTTTATATGTCCTCCCTGCAGGACTCCAATTACATGTCTCTGAATTAGGCCACTTGAAGTTACCCACAGTTCACTGATGTTTTGTTCATTTCTTTAGAGTCTTTTTTCCTCTGTGTTTCGTTTTAGCTAGTTTCTACTGCTTTGGTTTTGAGTTCACTGTCTTTTCTTCTGCAATGTATAAATCTGCCATTAATCTTACCCAGTGTATTTTCATCTGAAAATTTTTATTTTTATCTCCAGAAGTTCAATTTGGGTTTTTTTTATGTATCTTTCATGTCCTTACTTAAAATATCCAGTCTTTCCTCTCACTTTTGAACATAGGGAATACAGTTATACCTATTTTAATGCCCTATCATGTATCATTGCTGGTAGGTTTCCATTGATTTTTTTCCCTTTCATTGTGAGTCCTGTTTTTCTAGACTCATCTTAATCCAATTTCAAAGTTTAAGATTTTCTGGCATGCCCAGATGACCTAAAAATATATGCAGTCCATGTGAGGATGGTTTATTTCAGTTTCACCTGAAGGCTACTAAAAGTACTACTATAAGTGTTGCCCAAAACAAGAGGTGTGTTTAACAGCACCTCCACGCTCAGCAGGCTCTGAACTCTTTGGCCTTCTTGTCCTGCATTGATTCAGAAGTGCATCTTAGACCCTCAGCTTCTTGTCCTAATTTGCAAATGACTACAGGCAAAAACAGCCCCCAGTGTTTTGCTCAAGAGTTCAGTAATGACTTTCTGTCCTAAATCATAGCCCAGAAATTCCTCCCTGTTCATTAGCTATCAGCTACTTTTATGGTTTTTTAATATTTCATCCAGCCTTTGTCTTTAGACAATTGGTCTAAATCACCTAGTTTGCCATTTTCAGACACTGAAATCCCACCAAAGTTTTCAGAGCTAGCTCGTTCTCTCTCATTCACCCACCTAGTCTTCACTGACCATATTTAAAATAACATCTCAAGCATTATCTTCACTGTACTTATTGCCTCTTGACATTTATTAATTAAATTTTCCCACTAAAATGTAAGTTTCAAGAGAATAGAAAATCTATCTTATGCCCTCTGGAACCTGGGATGAGGAGGAAAGGAAATTTTATATTTTACTTTATATTCTTCTGTATGGTCAATATATTAAGAAAAAGCATGTTTTAAAATACAAAATTTCCACATATAGTCTATCACTATTCTGCCTCTTTCTTCCTCCCTAAAGACACTCTCAGTTGACATTTATCATGACCTTGGCCCTCTTCTGTTCTTGTTCTTCATACTCTAACTTCCTTTACTCCTATCACTTCGATCATATAATAATACCTAATATTTATTGAACATTCATTATGTGTTGGGCAGTATGCTAGGAGCTTCATATGGATTATTATATAGTTAATTCTAAACAAACCACAAAATAACAAAAAGAAAAACTCTTTTGCAAGGGAAAATAAATAAATCTATGAGGTAAGTATTATGAGCCCCACTTTAAAGGTTTAGGCTGGTTAAGAAGTTACATAAAGTTGCACACTAACTAATGGTGAATCTAGCATTTACACTCCTGTGCCATGTTCCGACCACAGAATTACACCATACTTACCTATGGAGAAAATTCTGAGGCTCAAATCTCTCTCTCTAAATCTGACCCCTTCCAAATTCCAAGCCAAAATTCTGTATAGCTGCTGGCCATTTTCAAAGGATGTCCTGCAGGCACCATAAACCCAAAATGTTTTAAAGCCAAATTAATATTCTTTACCCACCAAAGGTGTTATTTATGATTTGCATCTTGTTGACAGTATCATTATTCTGTCAATCATCTATGGAAACCTTTATGAGGTTTAATTCACACATGCTGAAATTCACCCAGTTAAAGAGCACAATTAAATTGATTTTAGAATATTAAAAAGTTGTGTAACCAACACCACCATCAATTTTAGGACATTTTTATCATCCCAAAAAGAATCCCTCGCTGTCTATTTTCTGTCTCTACAGAGATACAGAAATTCTGGATATAGAAATCTTGACATGAACTTTAGCCATTCCCTGCTGTAATCTCCCTAGTCCAACAATGAATTGGTTCCCTCATTATGGTGATTACTTTCAGCACTAAGTCTCATTTCCATGCTCATCAATTCAGACACTCACTATCTCCTGCCCAGTTTATTTCCTTATTTACTTAGTGATTACTGACTTCTCTCTCCCATCCATCCTGTACAATGCTGTCAGAAACTCCTAAAACAATAATGGTTTCCCACCATATAGAGAATAAAGTTCACACTCCTTAGTCTGGTACTGAAGACCCACCATATTCAACTCCAAACCACTTTTCCAGCCTCATCTCTCCCTCTTTCACCATTCAATCCATACTTCAGGCATACTGCATGACATGAAGAGTGTGACACATGTGTCACATTTTATAGTTTTCAGTTTCTTGGAAAAACTCTCAAGCGTGACTTTCATATTGCATTTTTGTTTTGCACAAATCATACCGGTTTCTAGACACAGAGTTTATAAATTGCTAAAGGCTTTGTTAGAATTTGGATATAAAAATTCATTTTCAAAGACTATGATTTTGAAAATTTTGATGAACTCTGTCATCAAAAGGATATGGAAGCTGAAGAAATCCTATTCAGCTGGTTGGAAAAGACTTTCGGGCAAGGACACAGAGCAGCAGCTGGAGTCAGTGTCAGCTCTCCAGACAAGCCCATGTCAGCTATGTCTTCAGAGATGGAAAGGATTACTGGACGTCCTAGCACAGGATGGAATCTGCTGCAGAGTACTTCAGTTGTACCAACTTTTGGTCTACTGTCAAAAACCAGATAAGACAAATTTAGCTTTTTTCCCCTCTTAAAATTTTGAAGGGCTTTCAAAATTCCTTTTATAACTTCCAGCATATGCATAGCCATGTAACCAGCCATATCAGTTTTGCTGGAATAAGTAACCATGTCCCACTCAGGGAATCACAAACAATAGAAAGAGCAGGCAAACTGGCATTTCAGGACTGGTATCATGGCTGCTGCTTCTGCTGCCACTAATGCAGTTTTAGATTCTCAAAAGTGTGTTTCCTCCACTAAAATTACTCTATGGTTCTGAGCAGAAGTTTCTAAGACCATTTAAAGATCACCATGATGGGAATGGGAGTGAGGAGGTCCCTTAAAGACAAATAGCCTTAAAAACTGGCCTCATGATAGTTAGATGTCTGCTTTCACACATGCTACACCTTTTGCTGAAGTGTGTGAGGTTCTGTTTGATAGGAGTAATGAGAAAAAAGTAGGGCATCTTTCTATCCTAGAATTTAGTGAAATTTGGTATTTGCTTACTTTCCAACAGCTCTTTTCTAAAGAGAAAAGAAAGTTAATGAAACTTTTCCTCTCTCTCTAAACTCAGCAGGTCATCCAGGGAAATGTGACGACCAACACTGGCTCTGAGACTTAAAACCCTTTCAGTGAATCTATGATAACAAGCTGTCTACCTGTAAAGATTATATGATAGTTAAGAAAGATACGGGGTGAGGGTTTTCTTTCCTGCACATACTAAAAAATAAAAAGTATTCTAATCTGATGTAATTTGGGGCAAGAGTAAGAAAACAGATTAAAAACTAAAAAACCATGGACAGTTTCTTTGAGCCTTAAAATGCTATGACTACCAGTCTTGATTCAGAACATACAGATGGAGGCAGGAACAATTAAATAAAGAATAAATTAGTTGGACCTAAACATAAGGTAGATTCTTTTTCTTGCTATAATGCATGTTTGCTTTGGATTTTGTGGTAGTAGGACAGTTTAAGAAGGCATGGCAGAAAATTCTATTCCACTCATTTAACACCTCCTCCACAGTTTTTTTTTGTAGTCTGAAGAAGGTGGAGGTGGGGAGAGAGATGATTTCCAAACCTATGCAAAATGCTGATGTGCAAAAAGTAATATACAAAGAATTCTTTTGTATTCATACTATTTCTCTAGCAAAGAGTAACCTTTTAAAGTCATTTCCCTCTTCTCATGTCTAAATGGGATTGGAATTAGCAGGGTTTGTTTTATTTCAGTTACGGAAGAAAACAGGCATGGAGAGGAGAAGGAACATATCCTGAGGTTAATTAGAACATATTCAAGGAACAAGGAATAATAATAGTTTTCAATATAAATAGCTTAAAAGTTTTACTTTTCTTACAGAGAATCTGACACCTGTCACTAAGAAATGACAAGTGAAACCATTTTCAATTTCTACCCATATTCATACTCATAACAGGAGAGTAAAACATGGATGACAACAAGGCTTTTCCCCTTCACCTCACATAATGCTGATAGTTTATGACAAGAGCAATTCCATTCAACAGGTTCAAAGTGGGTTCATTCTTTGTCCTGCAAAGCAAAGAAAAGCTAAGCCATATCTCAAAGATTCTGAAACCAACCTCTGCCTGATACAAATTTTGGCCCATGATTACCACCCCTACAGATAACTGGAACTCAGTAATGAATTGGCCAAGGGGAAAATGGCAGTTTTTGAGTTCATCCACTCTAGTGAAAGGGAAAGACATCAAAAATTTAAATGAATCTACTCATTCATTAAAAGTTAACAGGGAATAAAAAAATGTGGGGTTCTGAGAAAATTAGTTTCAAAGTCAATTAGTTTCTTGCTTAGAGCCACAGCATAAACTTAAGCCATGGACTTAAATAACTTACCTAAAGACCTCTATGGAGAGGATTCCATTCACCTTTACACTGAAATTAAATTTAATCTGCAAAATAAATGGCATGTAAGATTTAACTTGACCCAGGATAGAGACTAAAAATTCCTACACTTAATTCCTAAAGAAGTTATTTTTTACATCACCTTTTTTTCACTTGTACTTTCCCTAAACATAATTAACACTTGTCTGTCCAAATCCAGCATCTTAAATATATTGCGTTCTAACACTACAATTCCAAGTAGTCAAAAATTATCAAGCAATCCTACCCTTTAGTCTTATGCTGTTCTCCCAAGGTATCTCTTCTCTGCCTTCTTAAAGGAACTGTCCACTTTTCTATTCTTTCCATTGTCTTCATACATGGAACATTCCACACTTGGTTCTTTGGTTTTTCTTCCCCTGCCTCCAACTTTTATGACTTTTATGTCCTCCTAATTTACTTCATTGTTCTAATTATTTCCTAACTTCAACCCACATTTTTCTTTCTATGTAACATAATGGGTAATAGTGAACTCTAGAACCAGACTGCCTGAGTTCAAATCCTGGCTCTGTAAGTTATTTAGCCTGCATACCATAGTTTCCTCAGCTATAAAATGGAAATGATGATGATAAAAACCTACTTCACAAGGGATGTTGTGAAGATTGAATGAGTGTGTGGAGAGCACGTACAATAGTGACAAACAATAAGCACTGAACTCTGATGAAGACAGGAAAAGTAGGACACTAGCAAGAGAAAACAAGTTATATATAAAGTTATATAGCATACTTAACTGTATATATCTTTATAAACCTATCTAACTACAGAAAATAATAAAAATATTAGCCCTCCAAAGTTCAAAGTACCTTATTAAAATTCCTTTATGGCTATTACATAATTTTAGAGAAGGAGATAATCAGCAAGGTTTATTATCCAGATTTAACAGAAAAATAAAGCACAGAAGAGAGAAAGTAGGTACCCAAAGTGATACAATAAAACAGTAAGGAAGTGAAAATAAGAACCCAAAAGAAAACTCTCTCTACATCCAAGGGTTCTCAACTATGTCACATGACCAGTGTCAAGACTGCCCAAAGGACAGAAACCAAATCAATTCAATATTAAAAACTGAAATCATTTTCATTAAAAGAAAGAGAACCAACCAGATCCTTCCATGTCCAACAGACAGACATCTCCTGAAAACATATGACTTTTTAAACAAGAGAATCATTATTATGAAAAGGAACAGCTTACCTTAGGATGCACCATGATAATTTTGCGTAAAAAATTCTTTATAACCAGACTATCTGTCATCAAAGTTGCAGGCTTTTCATCAACCTGTAACAAAACAACAAAAACATTTACATACATACACAAACCCTTGAACACACACTAATGAAATTATGGTATTTCATCCTATAAAAGTCATTACACCTCAGAAAGCTTTTCAGACTCCAGGTGTAAACATCTTTGGGTCTGAGAATTGGACACAAAAGGGAATCTAACAGCCATAACTTCTTGGGTTAAAGTACCTATTTCATGGAACTTCATGAGACAAATGAACAAAAATCAAGGTAAGATCCACAATCTCAAAAACACCTTTTGTAACAAATTTTAAAGTAATTCAGACTGGAGCTGAGAAGAGTAACTCTATCTTAACTCTACCGTCTTAATGTGGGTCAATCTATATTAAGAATCTGAGTTGGAGTCAAAGGAGCAGACACTAAAGGGAGCCTATTTTTGAATGTCAATCTGTTCATCCAAACATTTATCTTTAAGGAAAATCTGTAAAGCAAAAAGCTCAAAAATCAGAAAATATGTGCCTTAGGATTAGCTCTGTAAAAATTACTTAAGTAATCACACACACACACACACACACACACACACACACAAAATCACTTAATTGCTCTGGGCCATATTTCCTAATCTGCAAAACAGGGATAAAACTCTCCCTTTCTACCTCACAGAGCTGTTTTAAGGATCAAACAATAATCTGAAAGTAATATATTACACATGTAATAATAATTCTACTTGTTGAATGCCTACTATGTGGCAAGCACTGTGCAGGTGCTGTTACTACCTTACCTCACCACAATCTTGCAGGCAGGTGTTACTATCCCCTCTGTAGATTTGTTTTAAATGAGGTATAGAGCAGTTAAGCAACTTGCCTAAGGTCACCCAGCTCTTCAGTGACAGAGACAGAATTTGACCTGTCTAACACTAATTGGCCATGCTCTTTCCAATATATCCTGATACTTCTCTACAAATGTAGTAAGATTTACAACTTATTGAGGGCTTTCCCTATTCCAAGAATGGTGCTAAAGTATTTTATTTATATTACCTCATTTAACCCTATTAGGCATATATGACCCATATTTTATGGATGAAAAAAAAAAAGATTCCCAAAGAGGTTAAATGAATTTCCTAAGGTTACCTAATCTGGTTCCAGAGCTTTAGTATACTGATTCACTATGTTTAACATAGTGTCTGTAAAACCAAAGTTAAAAGGAGTCTCCTAGAAAATGGAGACGTCCAGGAAAATAAGAAGAAACAGAGCCAGGCATCAGACATCAGTAGGTTCCTATTGGTGGCTCAGAGAATACAGAGTCATCTATGAGGTACATATTAAAGGAAAAAAATAGCTCCAGACCTCAAAATCTCATAACACAATAAAAAGTAAACATAGAGAAGAATAAATTATTATAATACTTTTTATGAGTACACTGAAGAAAAGATCAACAGCTCGGCAGTGGGTGGGGATAATGAGAAAAATTATTACAAAAATTTTTTTTAAATGGAAGAGGATTATTAAGAGATTCTAGAAACAAATCCAAGATTATTCATACATGTATACAGTTGTGATTAAATAGTAACTGCAAATACATATAGTTACATCCTTCATTTAAAAATTTTTATTACAAAATGTTCAAACAGAAGAAAAGCAATGGTCTCTTAAAGCATTTTCTGTACTTAACAACTTCCAAAACAACTTCTTGGAACAGTTTCAAGCTTCTGTAGCCTCAGTGATTACAGGGTGTATCACAGAAAGGGCTAATTATATCTAGCAGTAAGGCAACTAAGTAAGTGAAAGTTCCTTGAGCAGCTACTAGGGAGGGGCTAACAATTCATAATACTGAGCTAACACTTACTAACACCTGCTACATGCCAAGCAGTTTATAAGCAAGTAGGAAATATCCCCATTTTATTCATGATGATTAAATAAGCTAATTTGTCCAAGGTCACACAAAGTTAGTTAAGTGGCAAAACTGGGATTCAAACCTAGGTCTGACTAACTCTAAAGCCCACATTCTACTATATGATTTTGCCTCTCCAACAATGTTCATTTTCTGTGCATATAGCTATCAGAATGAGACATTACACAATCTATCATTACTTCTTACGGTGTCTGACAGGCAATGCTTGTGCATGACTACTGAATATATGTATTTATTCACTCATAAAACACTTTGTGTAGCTTATTATGTACCTGGGCCTACAGAGATAAATAAAACAATCTCAGAATTTAAAGAGTTCACAGTTGGGTAGAAGAGAAAAATATATAAATAATTTTTACAACAATGTGAAAAGTTTTATGATTTATATATACAAGAGATGCTGAAGAAATGCACAAGAAGGATTGGCGCCTAAACCTTGCAGCTGAGAAAAAAAGTGACCTAACATCAGGTCAGCAGAAGATAGTTAACAAAAGCAAGTAACTCCTCTTAAGATAGACTCATACATTTTTAAGATTGAGAGAGAAAGACACTACCAAGTCTTTTACAAGCTTTTACAGTTGGGTGTTAGAAATCCATCATTCAGTCTGACATACCTAGAGAGGCAGTGAATTTACTTAACTGTTGGGAAAAAACAGAGGCTGCAGAAACCACTATTAAATCATATGTTTCAGCCTTCATCTTTAAATACAAGTCTAATTACAAGAGAGAATATGGGAGCCATTTTATATTTTCAAACATGAACTTATGCAGTCATGGGCCCTGTGCAACTTAGAGGAAAGTTAATCAGTGTCTCTGTCTCTCTAGTTAGTTACTTAGATAGTTAGAGAAGTACATAGATAGATAGGTGTAAATACATAGACATGTTTGTATGTATATATCTCTACCCATTTTGTCATTTAGTATTATGGCAAAAATAAATATAAAAATGAAAGGAACTGTCAAGATCTTGGAAGGACGTGTTACCCAGCCTAATGGACCCCAAGATGCAGGACTGACTCTGAGTATAAACGAACACAAAACCCTCGCCGCTCAAAAATGCAGCATTCCTCAGTCTTCCCCAGGATTAGTTCTCCTTACATGCCCAGAGCAGTGTATCATTATAGTTTTTTCATGAATGTCTCCATTCCCTAGTCTTTGCTATGAACCTTGCTATGTGACCTTTCTCCCCAGTGGAGGTATATATAACAAAATCTTCCATAATCTTCCCTTTTTCTCTTCTCACTCTCTTCATTCAAGTATCTTTAAGTAGCTGCACATTACCGTGACAGTGAGATGTAATGGAACAAACGCTTTCAGAAAATCCTTGTTGCTCTGAGGTTATACTGTTCTTTTACCTCTCCTCATCCATCATCAGTTGACTGTGGGCACTAAGCTCAGTTTTCCTCTGCATTCTAAGTCCTGCCATCATCTTGGTGAACTTTCACATCCAAGTGGGTGACCAGTCTAAACAACAACTTAGTCTCACAATTCCATTAATCTCTTCAACTCCAATGACCTTGACTCCCACTCATTTCCAGCCACATATTCCAATGGTTATAGCTGAGAACTGCACATTCTGGAAACCTTAAACTGAAAGGTCCCACTCTTACATGAAAAGAGGTACACCAGACGTTAATAGTGGCTACCTTGATTAAGTCAAATTATCTGTGCTATAAATGCTCACTTTGATTTTCCGGAGGGAAACACTGCTTTAATCAGAAACAGAAACTTTATCAGTCTGATGATAACTTCCTATTCTGAACCCCTTTTACCCAGAAAATGTTTTCGGTTTCATCAAAACCTCTAGACTTTGGTCCCTTCCACTGGGTTCAGTACCCTCCCTCCATGGTACCACAGCATTCAATGCTTACCTCTACCATTACATGATGCTGTAATTATTTGTTTACTTGACTATCTTTTCCACAGATTCCAAAATCCTTGTGATCAAATAACATGTCTTAGGACTCTGTACCTTCAATATCTAGCACAGTGAGGCCAAACTGAACAAACACAGAGGTTTCTGAATGGATAAATATAAAATAGTACTGATCACTCTAAGAAAGACTTTGGTTCAAATTCTAATTCTGTCACTTAACTTTCATATGACCTTGGGAAGGTCAGTTAAATTCTCTGAATCTTAGTTTTCTTATCTGTAAAATAGGGTGTCAATCCTTGTCCTATCCACTTCATAAAGTTGCCAGGAGGCTTAAATAACATAGATAAATGTTAGGTATTCACTGTTCTGACTGGCTAAAACACATGATCTCCTTTTCTAGAACTGCTTTTCTTGGTTAACTGGAATCAGTTTTTTATTGCTATTTGACATTAATAGTTTCAGAGCCGACTAACCATTAATTGCTCCAGACTGTTTACTCTCCATTCCTCTAAAGAAGATAAGGCACAGCCAAGGATAGCCATTGTCCCAAATCCATACCCACTTCCTTTTAGGAGGAGCATATAATTATTTGAACATGGAGAAGGCCTCCCAAGTGCTTCTTGAAGATTGTTTAAAGTACTCTAATTCTTTATGTTGCCACTAATTCAAAGGAAGGAAAGACAGGGGATCAGAGAATTGTTAAAGAGAATGGAGAACTCAACTGTCACTCTCATACATCTGGGCTACAAATAAATCAACACAGATCTTTAAACCAACCTAATAAAAATGTATCCAAATAGGATCTGCCCTGGGAATCTATTTTATTTTCTTTTTCTGGAGATCAAAATTCTAATAATGGCTTGTCTCAGTGGTTCTCAAACTTAGCTGCACATTGGAAGTCATCTGGGATTTTCTAAATATTTCAGAGCCCAGGCCACACCCATTATGGACTGAATTTGTATTCCCCAAAATTCATATGTTGAAGCCCTAGCCTCCCATGTGGCTGTGTTTGCAGGCAGGACCTTATGGACATACTTAAGGTTAAATGAGGTCATAAGGAAGGGGCCCTAATCCGATAGGACTGGTGTCTTTGTAAGAAAAGAAAGATATCAAAGCGCTCTCTCTTCACCTATACACAAAGACAAGGACTTCTAGCCTCCAGAAGTATGAGAAAACTAATTTTTGCTGTTTAATATGATATTTATTTCTTTTGTCAGTCTGAGCAGACTAATCTAACACCCAGACCAAATAAATCACAATCTCTTGGAGTGGGACTACAAACATTAGTATTTAAAACCTGCGTAGGGAAGTCTGGGAACAAATGCCTTATTTCATTTCAAACTGGAACTATGAGGAACCTACATTTTAACTTTCTTGTTATTAGATTTATAGAAAAATAAGAATCAAAACATCAGTAATTTATAGAACCACAACAAAACTTGCCTCAAAAATCATTTGGAACGGTGTTACCCCCATTATATCCTGAGAATAGCTGGCTTCCTCTGACGTCCAATTCAACTTTGGAGACAATCCAGGCAGTATAGACTGTATGTCTGTGTGAGAAGAAATAATGACAAAATAGAACAAGCAGTTTGGATAAGCACCAGAGTTTCTGGAATTGTTTATTAAACCGATAAACCAAGAAGGCTTTTCCCTGATGAAAAGATTATCTGCAAAATTTAAAATATGATTGGAAATGGCTATGCATCAGCAAATTGCTTGAACATTTAGAATTACTTTATCAGGTTATGACATTTAATCTCATGTTTCTAAGTTTTCACACTTGCTAAATCAATTGTATTTTCAGTTAATTTCCACAAGGTCATAAGCAATGCCAGACATCTTCCGAGCTGATAGCTCTAGCTGATATTCTTGTAGTTTTTAATAAATCAATTCACTATTTAATTATTATAAATCCAGCACGCTAATTTAGGACTAAAAGCAGAAAAAATACAAGAATGACCCTCTCAGACATTTACCGAGTGTTCTTTAATGAGGCACTCTTTAACAATAAAAGCAAACTCTTGCTAATATAATTTATAAATTAACCACTTGATGTATTTACATGTGTTGACTCAGAACTATCTTTCCACAAAGCATCAGTGAGTCCTGGATCATCATCAATAAAGAGAACCTCAAAGTATGCACCATCCTTTTTCCTTTTTTTACCTTGGTACTCATATTTTAAAGGAAAAAAAAGCTCCCATTTTATAAAACACCATCCCTTATTTCCCCTCTACAACACTATTATAATAGAGAACTAAATATGAATAAAGATAGATATCTCAGTCTATGCAAGTTCTGTCTTATAAATGAGATCGACAATGTTGATATTATAAAAGAATTCAACTTTGTAAAACCTGCTAACAATAAAACATATCCTAGAATAATACCATGACTTTTTCCTAAAGCATTTATATTACATATGTAACAAAGCTTTAACCATCTCAAAAAGTATGAAGATGACCAAGATCAAGTTCAGGCTATCAGTTTTAATAGGTAATATTTTTCTTTCCGTTAGTTTGTTTTTCAAAAATAATTCAGTCGGAAAGCCCAGGATAATATGGCAGTACAGTCATGCTACACTAAAGTTTAATGAATTTGGCACTGAACCAGGGTATCTTGCATCAATCTTCAGTTTTACCACTGACCGACTTTCTGACCTTAGGCAACCCTGTTTTCTGTGATTCAACTACTTCTCTGTGAAATAAAACAACTGTTTCTGAATCTTACTTCTCTTTGAAGTACTAACACAGTGCAGAACAGGAAAAACACATAAACACATGAGAAAAAGGCTTGTCAACAACGTTGAATTCTCCAGAAAACTGAATAACAATTTAAAATACAATGTATAGTTATTTGGGGAGAAATCGACTTCAACTCACTCCATACACACACACACACACAAAAATTCAGATGGACTGATTAGAGTTAAATGTAAAAATGTGGAACAGAATAACTAAATAAAAGCCTTCTATTTCAAGATAACTTGAACATATGTTGAAATCTCATCTTCCCATTCAAACATAGAAAATGACAAAAAGCATTTTTAAATCTTAATAGTCATGGTGAAAGGAAAAGAGAAATCTTTACAGACAAAGGAGAGGTATTCTTCTCAGAAAGGAAAAAGAGAGAATCCACAATGGTTAATAAGGACTAAAGATACACCATATTTGGAGCCTGGACTGAGAAAAACACACAGGGCTAATATTTCAACACCCACAGGTTTAAGAGCAAAGGTCCACAGAGGCCACACCTAGGTCTATGCAAGGGACCGAGGCAGAGATGTTACCTATCTGAAGCTAGCAGCAGCATCAGTGATGCAAGATGAGGACCTTAGGGCCATGTCACGTAAGTGGTGATGAGACTCAGAAATAGATAATCTATCAAGACGCAAGAGTTTTGTATCTTGCCACGCAAGCAAAATTTAATCCAAGGTATACACCCTGCAAGATTAGGGCTCAGCAAACCAGAGAACCTCTTCCTGGAAGGCTGCCAATGCAGGATGTGTTCAGGACAAATAGATCATGAATGATTAGCTCTTAACTAAACACTACCAACCAACAAAGGTCAATACCATGAAAGATACAATATATATAAACCAACAAAACTTACACCTGAGGAAAGAGTTCATAAAACAATCTCTGTAAAAGACTTTAAAATTAGATACTTTATATTTTATACCCTCAAAGATAAAAAGAAACCATGAAAAAAGAATAAACTGCCATCAATTAAACTGAAAGTAACAACAAAAAATCCTATTAGAAATCTCAGAAATTAAAAATACAGTGTTTGAAATGAAAACCCTGTGGATAACAGATTACATGCTGTAAAAGAGCACATTTAAAAAAAAGGGTAATACTTAAATGTTCATAGCAGTATTATTCCTAAGAGATCAAAGTGGAAACAACCCAAACGTCCATTAATGATGACAGATTAACAAAATATGGAATATTATTTAGCCATAAAAGGAAATGGAAGTATTGTTAAATAATACAACATGGTTGAATCTTGAAAACATTATGTTTAGTGAAAGATGCCAGATACAAAAGGCTACATAGTTTGATTTATTTATATGAAAAGTCCAAAATAGGTAAATCCATAAAGACAGAAAGTAGATTAAAGTTTGCCAATGGGTAGCGGGTAGCAGTGAGGGGAGCGACTGCTAATGGGTACAGAATTTCTTTTTGGGGTGATGAAAATGTACTGGAATGATATAGTGATGACAGTTGTACAACCTTGTGAACACTTAAAATTTTTATATACTTAAAGTGTCCTGAATTATACACTTAAAAATGGTATATTCTATGGTATGTGAATTATAAGAAAGCAAAAGGTAAATGGCATTAAGAACAGACTTAAAAAGATATAAACATGGGGAGATTCTCAAGATGGCAGCATGAGTAGGGTGCCAGAAATCTCCTCCCAAAACCATATATATTTTGAAAATACATCAAATGAAACTATTCCTAAAAGAGAGACCAAAAGACACAGTACAACAGCCAGGCTACATCTACATCTGTGAGAACTCAGCATCTCACAAAAAGGGTAAGATACAAAGCCGTGACCCGAGCACTCCCCCAACCCCAGCTCACAGGTGGGAGGAAAAGAATCAGAGTGGGGAGGGAGTGGAAGCACAGGACTGCTAAATAACCAGTCCCAGTAATCTGTACCAGGAGCACAGACACACATTGCATGGTGTACTGGATATTAGAGAAATGGAAAAGTAAAATCCAAGACTAACACTGTGAACAGGTTCCCACAGCTGGCTGCCCTGGGACAAAGAAAAGTGGGCACTTTAAAAGTCTTAAAGGGACAAGGGTTTAACAGGTGGACAAAATCGTCCTGGCACACTCAGCCCAACAGGCTGGGAACTTTAAGGAACTTCAAGTGCCCTAGCCCCCTGGGTGGCAACACAGCTCTGAAGCCCCTCATGGCGATAAGCAGCCTACCGTTCATTTCCTCCCGCTGGCACTGCAGGCAAACTGGCTGACCCGCCATTGCTGTGGAACAGCTGGGGAGCAGCCCCACCCACAGCATCCATACAGAGTCTTCTCCCAGTGTGAAGCTAACTGGGCCAGACCCAGAGGCTGCCCCCTGTGCACAGCTGCCCGGCACAGACAGCGGAGAGACGGCACAGAGCCCGGAAGGCAAAAAGGAGCTTTATTCTCACAGGGAACACACACTGCTTGCCTGCAACTCCCGCCAGTGCCCTTGGCCATCGCGAGGGCCATCCTGCCCATGGCAGCTCAGGGGATGAACCCAGAGGCTACCCCCTACACACAGCTGACCGGCACAGGCAGAAGAAGCTGGTGCAAACTCTGGAAAGGACAAAGGGGCACCATTCTTGCAGGAGAACTCACACTGCTCACCTGTGACCCCCACCAGTGCCCTAGGCTATCCTGAGGGCCGCCCTGCCCACAGCAGCTCAGAGGGTTAACCCAGAGACTGCTCCCTGTGTGCAGCTAACCGGCACAGGCAGTGGAGACCGTCAAGGCGCCCAGCAAGCAGGAAGTTCTCCCAGCTGACACAAGCGCCACTCGTCAGCAATCGCTTCTATCCCCATGAAAAGGCAGAAGAACCTGGTTCAGTCCAAAATCACTCAAATGCAGAGGAGGGCCTGGTGAGACAGAAATAACCAATCTTCCTGAAAAAGAATTCAAAGTAAAAGTCATAACCATGCTGATGGACCTGCAAAGAAATATGCAAGAGCTAAGGGATGAAGTACAGAGGGAGATAACAGAAATGAAACAAACAATGGAAGGATTTAAGAGCAGACTGGATAAGGTGCAAGAGACTGTTAATGGAATAGAAATCAGAGAACATGAATGCAGAAAAGCTGAGGCAGAGAGAGATAAAGGGATCTCTAGGAATGAAAGAATATTAAGAGAACTGTGTGACCAATCCAAATGCAACAATATTCACATTATAGGGGTATCAGAAGAAGAGAGAGAAAAAGGAATAGAAAGTATCTTTGAAGAAATAATTGCTGAAAACTTCCCCAATCTGGGGAAGGAAACAGTCTCTCAGACCACGGATGTCCACGGATCTCCCAATACAAGGGACCCAAGGAGGAAAACAGCAAGAAATATAATAATTAAAATGGCAAATATGAAAGACAAGGACAGAGTATTAAAAGCAGCCAGATAGAGAAAAAGGATCACCTACAAAGGAAAACCCATCAGGCTATCATCAGACTTCTCAGCAGAAACTTTACAGGCCAGAAGAGAATGGCATGACATATTCAATTCAATGAAACAGAAGGGCCTCGAATCAATACTGTATCCAGCAAGATTATTATTTAAATTTCAAGCAGGGATTAAACAATTCCCAGAAAAGAAAAAGTTGAGGGAATTTACCTCCCACAAACCATCTCTACACTGTATTTTAAAGGGACTGCTCTAGATGGAAGTGCTCCTAAGGCTAAATAGATGTCACCAGAGAAAAATCACAGCAATGAAAGTAGACCAACTAAATGCAAAATGAAATCAACTATCCACAAAATCAGTCAACAGAAACACAAAAGAGTACAGAATAGAACACCTAACATATA